TTGAGATTGATTTTTTGTTTGTTATGGGTTGGCCACAGTTATACAAATCGAGATCAGGAGCCTTTGTGAAATGGAAAACGACTCTGGTTTATTAAAGGACAGTGGTCTTTTTTACGAGAAAACCACTACAGTTGCTTTTCATTTATCACATTTTTTTTCCCTAAAAGTTTAAGAAAAGGATATTATGGTCATATTATTTTAAGGGTGTTTGAGACCTATCAACAATATAGAAAAGGGTAAATCTTTATTCATTATGCACTTATATCTCTAACGTTTTCAGTGGCATTTTTATCCTCAATTTTTCATTAGTTAACACATCTTATATCTTATAACAGTTTTTATCAAAAAAATCTATTGAAGGGCATAAATGACTTACTTTCCATCATGTTTTTTAAAAAAATAAATAAATACAAAAATGCAATAAAAAATAAAATATTTTGACAAAAATTATCATCAAAGATGAGATGTAATAACTAGTGGAAGATTGGAAATAAGAGTACGATAGGAAAAAAGGTTAGGGATATAAATGCTACGACGAACACAGATTGAGGAATATAAGTGCAATAAAAATGTGGTGTAACAAATTAAAACTATGGTGCCAATATAATCATCCTATAAAAAATGATAATTTAGACATTTTAACATAAAAGAGTCCCAAAATTTCTTTGAAGTAAGTTAGTCCTGAAAAAGTTTTCCAACTATAAAGACCTTCAATTGCTCTTTCTCGTCATCACTTATTCCTAGATTTAGGACTAGCTTCTGGAGTGAGAATGCAAAGAAAAGTCATAGAACAATGTTGAAACATACAAATGCCATTCGGGATTCAAGGGGATGTATCTAAATTAAGAAAGTAGCACACAATTATAGGACGAGGAATTGGTTTACCTGCGAACTTCTAATACTTCCAGAAGGAGCGTGTCTTTCTTTCTGGATATGTTGGCAGGTGTTAATTAAATAATAATAATAATAATAATAATAATAATCATACGAAAGTAACATACAAATATAGGATGGAAAAATAGATTTACCCATAACCGATCAAGTTTGGTTTCCCTTCTATGAAAGTGACCTGACTCATCTTGCTCGACCTGTTGGCATTTGTGATCAGTATGATGTCTCTAAAATAAAAAATAAAAAATAAATAGGATGAGGGATTGATTTACCCCATATTTTAACGGATATAGTCTTCCTTTTGTCTGATGGAAAAGAATTTGAAGGACTTCATTTCCTTGGTTCCGCTGTTCCTCAAGTATATCCATTGCTGATTTCATGGCCAACAGACTGGAGTTATCTATTTCAATTATTTCAAGCGTCTGTATTTCTCCAATGTCAGATGGAATCTCTACCAATTTTGAGCAGTTTTGGAGGATTAGATGCTCAAGCCTTGGAAAATGAGTGCTGTCCGCTTTCCACTGTTCCAAATCTGTCTCCCAAATTAGCAAGAATTTAAGTTTGAGAAATTCTCCTTCAGTTGGTACCCACTCTGGGCCGATGAAGGCAAACCCGCGCAATTTCAGCACTTCAAGATTTGGCAACATACCAAAAATCGTCATATATTCCCAATCAATTCTACCATGATCTAGAGTTATCTTTTTGAGACTTGGGGCAGAAGTGATGCTTCGCAGGAAAATTGAATTTGTCGGCGATTCAAAGACAATTTTTAGTGTTTCAAGTTTTTGGAGATGGATGTCATAGACATTCCACATGGTGACATTATAATGAATTCCCAATTTCTTCACATTTGGAATTTTTTCAAGGAAGTGTTTTGTCTTTCCTAAATCTTGTACATTCAAAAGTGTCTCTAGATTTTCTAGAATGAAAGATTTATCACTATCGGTTAATGGGGAGAATAAACCAGGGAGCAGGGAAACTTGAGAGAGTTTGAGATGCCTCAATTGGGGCATATTAAAAATTTCCTCTGGTAGGTGAATTGTAATTCCCCAAGGGTCTTCAACAACTAAAGTCTGTAGATACTTAAGTAAGGCAATAGAAGGAGGAATTGCATCGTGACAGGTAATAGCAATGTACCTCAAATTAACTAGTTGAAGTATTTCATCGGGGAACAATTTAAGTTCCACTCCAACCATGTCTAATACCCTTAGCAATCGACAACCAAAATAATAATAAGAATGCAATTGAGTATCATCCCAACCAGTATAAATAAAAGATCGGACAAGAGACATTGATTGCATTGTCATGTCCTCCTCATTGGAACTTTGTGAAGCATCATCATGAATACTCAAACGTCGCTGCAAAGTTTCCTTCTCAGCAAAAATGTGTATATACTTGCTCTTCACACAAAGAAATTCCTCCTTATGAGCTATCCTCACGCAGAGCTCTCTCAAAAGACTATGCATGATGCAGGTTTTTACTTTTCCATTAATCGACCCTTTTTGATGAACCAAAATAAGATTTCTATCAATAAGATCCCCAAGATATTTCTGTGCAACCTCTTCCAAGCTTTTAAGTTCATGTGGCTTCAGAAATCCCTCAGCGACCCATAACTTGATGAGTCTAGATACTGGTATTTCATAGTTTTCTGGGAAAACTCCCATATAGAGAAAACAAGCTTTCAAATGAGAAGGCAAGTGTTTGTAACTAAAATTTAATATCTCTGAGCATCGGTCATCTTCCTCTGCTACAATTGAGTTTAGATTTTCAGCTACATACTCCCAGTAATCTTTTGCCTTATTGCCCTTTGACAGGAGTCCACCAATCACCACAATTAGTAATGGTAGTCCTCGACAATTTTTGGCTATCTTTGTTCCGACATCCACCAAATCAAGAGGGCAATTTTCTTTGCCAAATGCCTTTTCATTAAATAAATTCCAACTTTCTTCCTCATCAAGATATCGCATCTGGTGATGAGCATTAGATGAGTTGACGTAATCAGCCACATCTCTTAGCCTGCTTGTCAATATGATTCGACTTCCATTTTTATCATTTGGAAATAACATTTTTATGTCATTCCAGACCTCAATGCTCCGTACATCATCCACTACAATTAGATATCGCCTACCCTTTAGATTTTTGTACAAATATTCTTTTAATAGTTCTTCATCCTCTTCGCGTATGTGATCAGTAACAACAAAGTCATCTAGAAGGCTTAGAAGAATGTCACGCATGCGATATTGTTCAAACAATGTTACCCATGCACGAATATCAAAGCGATACTTGATATATGAATCATTAAAAACATTCATTGTAAGAGTAGTCTTACCCATGCCTCCTATTCCAACAATGGGAACAATTTGGAGTTGAGAT